TCCTTATGTACATATATTATAAATGGCGACGGGTCAAGCAATTATTTCCAAGCCAATTCGAAAGTAAAAGTAAATTCCGACAACCCACGGTATAAATAATAATAATAAAAAACTTTCATTTTCCCATTTTTAACGTTTAATTTTGCAGCAGCCAGGGAAAATATCTTTGTAAAATACAAAAATTAAATGCACACTGGCTAGATAAATCTGGAAAAGTAGTGAATAACTGCATGCAAAAGTTATACGGAATATTTTGAAGTCTGTGCAAAGAATATCGAGTAATTTTTGAACAAATTTATAAATTCCTCTCTGCATAATTCTGACTATAGTTTATGTCGGTACATAAAATCTCTGATCAGAACCGGTTCATTTTGCGTTAAAATTAGTAACGGAAACTGGTATAATGCTTAAACAGCAATAATCCAACCAGTTAATTATATAATAATTATTTTTAATCGCCATTAAAGTGTAATAAACTAAAAATACGTACCAAAACAGTCAGATTATAATAAAAACTACCTGGTAAAATTCTTTATAAACGTTAATAATTTCTCGATAAGTCATTTTACTCAGGTTCGGTTTTAAATTTTATTATTATTATTATTATTATTATTATACTATTTAAAATCTGAAGAGCAACGTTTTATGCACGTTTTATGCTGATCGTAATCGCGCGACACTCACGAATTTAAAGTATAATTTAGAATTATAATTNTTATCTGTTAAATGTAGTTAGATTTTTTGCTAGAAGCTTGTCGTCATAGTAAACTATATGCCTATATATTCTATATAGTTAGCATATATACAGTATATTTCAGAATAATAATAGGCCTTATTAGAAATTTAATTTTTTTCACATTAATCCAATCGAATACAGGAGTATTATTTCTCTTGTAATATTAAAAATCGTTTAAATACGCAGATAATTTATTTTCTTCAAAGTATTGAAGCTATTCATTTAATTCATACAAACAGAGCAATGAAAGATTTAAGAAAAGAAAAAATAAAATAAAAATCCGAGACATCTGATTTATATAAAATTTAATTTAGAATAGATCTATGATATATTTAATGCTATCAAAGAACGAAACGTAAAATCATAAATTTACTGGATGGGTCGTGAGATAATGAGATAATAAGATGTTTTCTTTCTGTAATTATTAAATAAAGACGGTAACTAGTCTACATTAGTGTTAAAATAATTTTTTAATCAGCATTGTATACAAAAAAGTTCTTATTGAATATGTAAATTTTGAATTAAAAATCGTTCATATCTATACTTAGTAATTCTCTCTTTCAGTAAACAAAAACCCAACTTATAATTAACTGACTGCATAATAATAGCTACTATCATAAATATCAAAAGACATTGATAAATAATCTTGGAAGACCACTAATTATTGTTATAAAATGTCCTATTACTTTTCAAAATTTAAAAATGTTGTTCTACTTTTCTTCATTAATTTAATGCTATCTAAATTAAGCTATTTAAATGGACTTGTATCCTAAATTAAACATAAGAAATGCACTTCCTTCTAATTAATATTTCTACTTTATATATACATTTTTTAACTTTTTTTTAAAAACTATATATTTTAATATCGTCCACATATTTTTGATTAATAATATTAATTAAATCATTAAACCAATTCAAGAAGTAAAGTACAGATACATGATATTTTTGAGTGTGTTTTACTTAAAAGATAGAGCTTGAAATTAGTAAGCATCAAAACTTCAAGTTTAAATAGATATTTACTATTACTTGTGTATTATTTATTAAATAAAATTGTAATGCTTTTTATTGTAATTTAAAGCCAATAAATATATTTTTATGCTTAAAAACTAACTTTTTTTCTATATAATGGCAGAATGTACTGTACAGGTACAAACTATATATTGACATCAGCATAATTTTCTGAGTGCTAATCCTTGTTATAAAACTACAAGTATATTATAGATACTATATAGAAGCTATTTCATATGTAAACTTACCGTATAAAATCTAATTTTAAATACTTCTTCATTTAAAATCTGTTATCTAAATTTTTTTATAAGTGAATCTTAAACCTTGTTGATATTAAAAGGAGAAAAGAAGCAAAGTTGAAACAGTGGTTTTTAAATCATGAAACGTCTTTGAAAAATATACCACGTTGAAATGACAGAAATAATGTTTTAGTTTGTTGAAGTTTAATGAATTTCCATTTTTTTCTTCACTTTAATATTTACTTATCGTGATAGACCTATAGAAATATTTTCACTCAAGCTATAAAAGCATCAACATAAACTAACATTAAAAAGGAAGCAGTTTTTAAAAGTTTTTTAATTCCTATTTCTTAATTATAATATTGTTAAATTGTAAAATATATTTTGAGNTTTTACGTGATTAATTTATTCGGTTCCGGCATTTAACTATTAAGTTTATAGATATACTGTAGCCTAAATTTTTATGTATTTATCACCGTATACCGAATCCAGATCTAAAATTCAAACCAAAAGTTGTACATAATAAAATCAAAAACTTAATCCGTCTTACCTTAGATGAATATGTGTTCATCTAAAATATATACAGTATAATTTTTCTTATCTTTTAAAAATTGACAAAAGCTTCTTTAGTACAACTAATCATATAATACATTTTGTAAATTACAATAATAATTATTTTAATGCTATTTTATTAAGCAAATATTAAGTTTACACTTGACATGAATTCATGCTTAGAATTTGGGATTTCACATTTGATATTTTGAATTTTGTAAACTATATTTTACAATATATTTAATTACCTAAACGGCAAAAGATAATTATATTTATACTCTTAATCCAATTGTTTTCCTACTGAAATAATGTTTTGCTATTCAGAAATATTCAATAAAAGAATATTTATCATATAAGCAGCATCTATAATTTGGATTATTCTTCCTTTGTTGTAAGTTTTAATTATTTATACAGTATATCTGAATATCTATATCTAATCAGATATCCTGAACGTTCAGGATATGATTTTTATATAAATTTCAATTAAAATATTTGTTTACATAAAATTTATTTTTATTTAATCGATAAGTTATATTATTTTATACATAAAATTACATATATAATTAAATAAGAGTTCTAAATAATTAATTAATGATATAACGTGAAATAATATAATCTAAGCTTAAAATGTCTAAGTTAAAATTTAAATATGTTTCTCCATATTCAATAATATAATAATAAAACGATAATATAGTGCACATATATTTTTATTTATTCAATTTAATTTTAATCTTTACTAACCATAACTAATATTAATAATATATCTACTATGGCGCTCTATCTATTATTATAAATTATTATTAAAATACAGAAATAATAGCTTTTGATAAATTCTTTCCATTATAAAATTTTATTTATTGCTTTCTATTTCTTTCCTATTGTAATATTTCGGAGATTTTAATCAAATAGCGTATATATAAGATTATAACAATCGTTTCTCATATATAATCATTTAATCTTACTTATGCTCCTTTCAAAAAATTAAATTTATTAAATAAGCCTTAATTATGTAGGCCAAAAGATCTGCAGTATAATTGTTTATATTGTTTACTTGGGTATTTAAAGATTTTTTTTAAAAAGAAGTGTCCGAAATTCAAAAAAATTAATATAATAAATAGGCCTAAGTTTTAAAAGTTAAATGGTCATCTAGGCTTATATTTTATTGATATAAAATATAAAATATTTGATTTTGAACAAAATTTTATATTTTAATTATGTTTAGATTAATATGATATCAATACTTTAGAGAAAAATGGAAAAATCCACTGTAAAAACGAGGATTTTATTGGGTTCGTGACTATCTACGACCAAAATGATTTAACTGTGTAATACAATATTTCTGAATTGTTTGTTGGTTTGTGGATCCTTTGATCCCATTCAATGGAGAAAATTTTATAAATAAAAAAATATTGCAATTTTTCACACTATTGGAAAATATGGTACTAAAAAATCGTGATATCTTAAGAATATTTACCAATAAAAAAATACATGATTTTGATTTTTTTCTGTATTCAACAACTACAATAACAGCAACAAATAATAGTACGAGGCAAATATATCTTTGAAGGCGGACAGGAGGGATTGGATGCGGAAGACCTCGAAGAACAATTCTAGCAGCATCACGCTATCTAGTATAGAAAACCGCAAGACTTCTAGGCCTGAATGGAAGACAGAAATGCCGTGTAAACAGAAATCGAACTTCCATCTCCATCCTGACACAAGCAACATATAGGAAGACAAACGGAGCTCTGAGACTCTCCCGTCAAATAGCTCAACAAACTGCGGACAGACATCCGGCCACACCTCTTCTTCGACCATCGCCTCATCTGGAGAGTGGCTGATGCCATCCGGCTTCTGGTCTTCGTTTGCTGATGGGACGGGCGATGTCTTAGTAATGACACGTCTTGAGTCCTCCGGCTGTCTAGCTAAGAACGCACCTTGGACTTTCCCAGGGCAACAATTTCCTTAGGGGTCTGTCCAGGTCTTGTCGAGGCCTTCAAATGATCAATCCTTCGCCTACTTTTGTCGACACTTTCCTTCGTCAAGATCCGATAATGAAGCGTCACTTAAGTTTCCCTCCATTTCCTTTATCTTCTCTTTTTTCTTTTATTAACACTAGTGTAGAGGAAGAAGAAGAAGAAGAAAAAAATCAAATAAAATAAAAATAAATAAAATTTCTAACTTTTGAAAATAATTAAATTTTCAATTCAAATTTTTTATATTTGGCATTTTAAAATTATTATTAATTTGCCCGATAAATTTTTATTGATATTAAACAGTTTATTAATACGCAAATCTTAATTATATTAAATCTTAAAATAATTCAAAATTATCACGAATTAAGACTGTTTTATAGCCTAAACTTACATTTAAAAAAAATATAAATTAATAGGCCTACATAATTAATCATCACCTTTGATTTCTTCTATTTGAATGTTAAAGAACAATGAGTTATAATGGAGAATAAACGGACCTGTTTCGTGGTAAGTTCTAAAAAGTTGAATTTATGACCACTAAGAAATTTTAACGACAACTTTTAATTGCTAAATTAAATTATAATTTAATTTGCATTTGTTTACAGTATTATATTTATGCTTTTAATCTCTTACATAATTTTCTAAGCTCAAAAACAATTTCTTAAATGGATTATTTCATATTTAAATTCATACAATTTTTAAAATAATTAAAATTTAGCTTAAATCTAAAACATTTTCACACAGTTAAATATAATCAGAGATAATATTAATCTTAAAAATATATAAAATTTAATACTAATTAAAGAAAGAAATTATAGTTTTAGCTTATTACGTTGAACGTTATCAAATACTACATTTGTTTTTTTAAAAGATTGTTATGTAACGAAATATTTTCTAGATTAAGTAATTAAAGGCACTGTTTATATAAATTATATCATAATTTATGTTATGTCTATAATTAATATAGACTATCTTTGTGATAGAAAAAAATAATAAAACAATAATACCGTAGTATAAAATAATGAACTTTTTCATATATTTTTCGTATTAATTATTAACTTAAAGACATGCGAAGAATCAAATATGTAATAAATTCTATAATTTATAATTATATAGGCTACTATAAGACAAAATAATAATAAATCACAGTTTAATGGTAAATACTAAACTACGAAAAAGTTATCTTTCGGTGAATTTTATGCAGGTTAATTTTTATTTATTTATGAAGTTAAAATAGAGTAGAATTTTATCGAAATTTTAATAAACATATATATAAAAAGTGTATCATTATAGAAAAATTTCAATGTGTTTTTTTATTTGTGACAAGAGTCTATAAATAAAATTTAAAAAATCTGTTTACAAACAGAATTAATAATTGGATTTTAAATATTATGTATTCAATTAACTTAAAAAGTTAAAAATACAAACGAAAAATAATTTTTTCATGCTAATTTTTGATAAAAATATTTACTTGGTTTGTTTATAATAATTATAAATAAAAAATTTAATTAAAATATGTCCATTTATTTATTTATTTTTTATAGTTTCATAAAATTCAATATTCGGGAAAATAAAGTATTATTAAAAGTTGATTACATGATATTATTCCTGGGTATATTGAGAGAATAAATTTTATTGTAATTTATTAGTCAAAAATAGATAGAAGAAACATTTGAATAGGTTGAAGAAAGCTTTAGCAACAAGTCTTTCTAATGCAAACTCATTTTCCTTTAGCAATTTCTTTTTAACTGTAGGTTAGCGCTTACGTCAAGAGCTTTCATTTCATTTAAATTGTAGCATTAAAGATATCTTAGGGTGAGAGATATAGGCGAGGGGCAGAATAAAAAAAACCGCAGTTGCATCACGTTCGGCACTCACGTCCATACGCTAAAGCCTAAGGACTCTCGAAGGATCGCTGTCTCTTAATCTGTCTCGCCCTTTACATTTACTCGTCTCTTTGTTCAGTCCTAAAGTCTTGTGCAAACGCTCTCCCGGAAAATTAATTTTCCTTATATACAGGACGGCTTAATCCATGGCGTGTCGTTTACGACTCGTAATGCCCCGGATAGTGTGTTTGCTTACCACGTGTATCATAAAAACACATCGTCAAAGACAAGAAACTCAAATAATATATTCGTCGGTAATACTTTTGTCCTCTTGTGAAGGACAGAAAAGGATCAAAGAAAGGTGGGAGGAACGAGAGAAGTCGAGGCTGTTTGCGAGCTTTCGCGTCGATTGTACCGAGTGGCGGGCTAAACGCAATGTTGGGATCTGACAGGCAGAGCACATCCAGTGCGCATCCAAGCAACAACGCGATCCCGCCTCACGTCAACCAGCTACCACCTGGTGTTGTTCCCAAACTATTTAATACGCACGATGACATACTGGCCGGAGCATAAAAGGAGCACACTGTAGGAATCGTCAGCCCATTGGTATACAATTTAGCTTCTTAACCAGACGGGCTATGCTCGATTTGCCAAAGGTGCCCGACCACCCCTTAATCCCGGTGTCTGTCCTCTGTCGAAGGTGAGTATCTTTATCTCGTCGATACATATGACTTTCCTCGAAATCTGCGACTACTCGATTTTCGCTTCCGCTACCGATGCCTACTATACTAATGGTGCCAATTGACCTTACAGGCAGTTGAAGTGAGAAATGCCGATCGACTGACGCGTTTTGTAGATATTTGCAGTAGAATATGGAGAAAAGTAAGTTTGCATTCTTGTAATATCAGTTTTTCGAAATGTTTTAAATCTAGTATAATATTCTTATTTACACCTCCCATCAGAAATTGTAACAAAAACTTTATTTATGCGATTTCTCTCAATTCTTTATCATCATATTATTATATATTCATATTTTACTATTTTATTTTCTTGTTTACAAATTATATGCAAAAAGACCAGTCCAAGTTTTTATAGTACTTAGGCCTGAACAAATGTTTAAACAAGTTTTTTACGTTTTTGTGTGTTTAGCCTTAAATTTAAACATTATAAACTTCATTACTTTATTGCCATTTAGGGTTTATTTATGATTACAACATTTACACTTAAATATTTTCAAAAATAAGTTATAAATAAATTCCTTTTGAGATGATTTTTTATATATTATAGGATATACACTTGGAAAGTTATCCAGTAATTTTTTTAAATTGTTTTAATGCAAAAGGCAATTTATTGACTTTATTAACAAAGTCTTATTAACTTTAATAATACATCCTCTAATTTACTTATCAATCGTATGTATTAAATAATAATCCATTTGGACGTTGTTATATTTTATCTCTATTAACTTATGAATGAGGAAACTCGATTTTGAATGCGTGACTAAATGAAAACGAGTTGCTCAAGAACGCAATTTACAAATAAACGTATCTTTTTTGACATAAATTGTGATGATTTGCACTTCTAAATGTTTGTTTTAAGCGCGAATGTCAAGCCTTAATAGATTTAAAGTACTTAGAATATAACACAGGGATTATTTTGAAGGAAAATATTCAGTTTCTGCATAGATAAATTCACCGAAGAATAAAAATCTTTATATAAATAATTTGTTAATCAAATTTTCAAAATTATTATGCGATTAGCATCGACATTGGTCATTAATATTGCGAATTTGTCTCATATTCAGCTTCTTTTTTATCACTCTCTTCCACATAACTTTACAATTTCTTAAATTACGAGACAAATAAAGTAATTAGTGCTAAATTTAAAGAAAAATATACAATAATTAGCACTTCTTAACATGTTGTAACTCTGTTTTTGATGTCAAGTTTACCAGATTGTGAAATGTGTTTATTAATAATACGATTTTAATGGAAAAGTATTTATTCATGCACTTCTGATACCGAAATTATAATTAATTAATTCATTTAATATCATAATATTAACCGCAAGGGGAGAAATAAAAACGGTAAAGCACCCGGAAGACAAAAATCTTATGGGATGAACGGTGAATCTCATTATTTATCTACTTTAGTAACCATCCAAAAGCTCGTCGAAAAACGTGGTTCCTTTCTCACGTCTCTCAGAAACAAAATATCGACATATGACGTCAGGATTATTCGACGGAGTAAGAAAACTGTCTTCATTACTAGTAAGAGTGAGGACATTAAATGGATCGGACACAGTTTGGTGCCGATCAGAACATTCGTGACTAAATTTTAAGTTTATGAAATTCCTGCTTTTAAAGAAACAGCAAAGAAAATCAAATTGTTTCCCAAACTAAAAAAGTAGTTTTAGTGTGAAGAAATGATCTCTTTTGATACTTTTTCCTTTCGTTTCTTTAATCAAATCACGGACTCTGGTATATGTTTTTGTATTCTATGTAAACGAAACAAAATGTATTAACTTACGAGTAAAATGAAAATATTTTATACGCTAACATTAATTTAAAGAAAATGATTGGATAAATCTTTTTCTCAATAAATAATAAATCATCAATTTTACTTTTTTTGCATATTAATTTTATACCCATGCTATTTTTATTTTATGTACTGCATAAATCGATCTGATTAATATTCTCTTTAGTTGATATAAACCGATGAAGCAGATCTACGTAATCAAATCAAATTTTGTTTGTAAAATATAGAAAAATTCCAGTGATTCTAGGTTAATTTAAATTATGAAGCAATTATTGTCTTTATAAAAAATATTTTTAAAATATTAAATTGTACAGTTTGCATCCATAATAATTAATTATCAAAAGTTTGCAAAAAAGATGATTTAGGCTATATTTTAGCATTAAACATTTCTAATGCTTACTTAACTGGTTTAAATATTAAGCATGAGTGTATCATTTTTTCTGTTTATTTTCATTTTGTCTATTTATGCATGAATATTATCAAATTATTATATCAGAACTTGCAATATTATCTTCAAATGACTTAATAACATCTAACATAACATTATATTCCAATTTTCGATCCGATATATTATCAGAACTTTATTATATTTATGATACAATACTGTAGAATGTTTCTTCTCTTCCGATACATCCAGGTAACGTTAGGAAAATGATATTTGAGGAAAGTATTGTAGAAAGTTTTATAGTTTCATCGAGAATAAATTTTGTATTGGCATAAATTTTAATACTTTAGATATTGTAAACAATTACTTTTCTCGATAAACCTTTAAATTATATATCTTTTTTCAATGAAAATATAAGTACCTTAAATGATGATAAATTAACAGTTTGGGTGTTGCACTGAACGCTAATGTATTAAAGTAATTGAAAAATAGATTGATAGGTTAATTTTAATATTTGTAAATCGAATTTGTCCTTTTCTAACTCTTTAATATTGATTTATTGATACGGATCTAATGATACTCTTCATCTTCTTTTATTAATATGGACCCGAATTAACAATTTAAACATCATTACTCTCCGAATAGATAAATCATTTTATCCATTCGGCGAATATATCAAACTAAACATCCAAACAAGTTTTCGATAATTTATATCAAAAATTTAATTTTTTTAAAGAATTTATAAATTATTCTACAGTTTATGTCTTTATTATTTGTTTTTCGCATTGATAATATGATAAGAAGTTAGAAAATTTTACATTTAAGCATATGATTAGATGTTTTAATTGTAGTAAAGTAATTTAGATAATTGAGAAGTAAAATCTGAAACTGTGCTTATGTTTAGATTAAAATATGCTTTAATTTTGTATAAATTAAAACTAATTATTTACTGGAACGTTCTGTTTGTTTCTGTCTTTTTGGTTGTGGCCAGAGGACCGACTGTTAGACATTCCATGCAGAGTCTGCGGAGATAGAAGTTCTGGTAAACATTACGGTATCTACAGTTGTGACGGTGAGTATCGTTTTTCTGTTCTTCCCTTGTGAGTAGTCGTATCTATCTATCTATCTATCTATATATATATATAAATATATAGCCTACATACTAAATATATGCGCTATATATAAATAATTGTTTTAAAAACTTTAATAGGTGCTGTACATCTAAATTAAGTTATTATTATTATTATATATATAGTAAGCAAATTAATGATAAAACTAAATCAAAATTTTATTAATTAAATAGATAAAATGAATATTATATTAAAATTCTATGAATTTGGCATAAACTTGTAATTTGTAATAATTTCAATTTATTTGTATACTGTATTTAAATATTAAATGTATATTATAATGCAAGTAATGTTGTAAAATTCTTTATTAGTCTATATTTACATGATACTGAAATTTCAAATTTTGATCGTAGAGTACAAATAGCAAATGTATTTAGCATGTAAATTACCCGTGACTATAAATTTATACGAAAAAAAAAATAAAATAAAATGCACAATAACAAATTTCTTAGCTTAAAATTTTATAATTATTAAACTACTTTTTATTGTATAAATCGTACAATTCTTGTTATAAAAGTAAGCAATTACTTTTAATGGCTCTTCATTATTACCATTAGTTACAATGAACAGATAACGCATCTTTTTTAATGTAAAAACTTAAATATCTAATTTACACAAACCTTTTTTTTAACATAGGAAATTAAAATTTATAATATTAATCGTTAATTATAACTAATTAATACGTATTTATATCTATGTATTAATAGAAAATGCATAGTTTAAACATACCATTTGAAAGTGTTACAGAATCGACTTTTGTTTGCCGCTAACTTAAAATAATTTTTAATTACATATCCGTACACTTAATTGATAGGATTAAATTAAGCTTTTCCATGTTTGATATAAAACGTAAAAATGTAACATTAGATAATGTATCAATTTTGCATATTAATTAATTTGGATTTATCTTAAAAATTTCTGGCTCAAGCGACGAAATGATTAAGCTTAAAGACTAAGGAAATTCGCATCATGTAAAAACTTTTGTTAATTATAGGTCTATTTATTTTACAAATTACTTCCATTCTCACTACTTAATATGCATAGAATCAATTTACTTTTTCGAAAATTGATTTTGTTAAGAAAAGTACTCCAAGAAAAATCAAAATATGATTATAGAAGGAATCAGAACGGCTATGCGTAAGCCTGAATTCCGGATCATGAAAATTCCATATTTCAAATAATTATTAAACATTGTATTAGTTTCTTTATTCTAAAAAAGATTTATTGAATTTTTTTTATCTGTTGCTCACGTAAAAAGTTTGATGTTTCCCTTATATAAATAATAATTTTTTAAAATAATTGTTCCAGAAAACAGTTTTCTTTTAAATTCAATGTTTTGTTGGATAAAGTGTTGAAATTTCTGTAATCTAATACACAGATTTAGCATAAAATGTATAAATTTTAGCTTAGAAATTCCATGAAAAGAAATAAAGTCAATACAAATGAAGGAAATAATTTTGACTTCGTAAAAATCTCGTTAAAATCAGGAGGAATTTCTCAGTACTTAAATACTTTCATTATTTAAGCCGAAATCTAAAATATATAATCAATTCTAAATGGAAATAGAATCTACATAATATATTTCATATATTAACCTCATTTGTTTCATTGTAAAAATTCACGTTTTTGTAGAAAGTTTTGGGAGGCCATAATTTATAGTTTATATATAAAGATATAGGTGTAAGAAATAAATTAAACTTAGGCCTACAACATTAATAAGTCAACGTGTTATTTACCGAAAGTATTATTGTGTAGGCTAATTAGTAGATATTTTTTGTCTCATACGGTACTTTAATTTATTCTATAAAGAAGTAAGTACTTCATTTTACGGAATGAACTGAACTACCGGTGTTTCGAATATTTTATAAATGGTTAATATTTTAATTATACATTAAACATATTGAAAGAGATATAAATAAAATTGATGCTGATTTAAGGCCTTCATGAAATTCTAAGATCGCTTTTTTTCCATTAAAATATTTGGAGGCGAATTATCAAATATTGCAGCGATAAAAATAAATAAACAAATATAAAAATTTATTTTTATAACTTTGCAAGTATCAATGCGAAATTAAATTTTTACAATTATTATCTTGTGATGCAATTAAACTAAGAAAATTGATTAGACAATTGAATTGGCCTCTAATGAATAAAATGTAAGAGATGACAGACAATTGATTGACTATTGATAATTTATCAAATGACTACATTCGTGCGTGATTCCAAATGTCAAAATCATGCTACATGTATGGTTGTTGCTATCCATTAAGGAAGTTTGCAGCCAAGCCTAGCAACCTAATCTAATATAAGCCCTAATAGAATATATTTCTGTATTTAATAGAGATTTGATTACTATTTATGATTGTAAAATTGTATAAATTATATTCGACTGCCATGTAATCAAATAATATTAAATTCACTACACAGATCTACAGAAATGTTCTGCAAAAATTCATATTCTACAATGTTCTTTTCGTCTTTTTTTTCATGTTTTTTTTTTCTTTACTTACTGATTTTGAATAAAGGTCGCTTTTCGAAATTTAAAGATCGTTATTTAAATATTGTTGAAAAATAGAAAGATTTTGTTATTTTTTCAGCATGTAATTTGCTTATAAATATTGATACTGAATTTTTTTCGGCATCATTTTAATTAAGAGGCATAGAAAAGTTTACATTTCTAAACTTGCATATCAATTTCTATAATATTGTACTGTATACAATTTAATTAAAGCTTGCGACCGCTTGAAATTTTTTGCAATTAAAGCTTTATCACGAATTCAAGTCAAAATTATTATATAATTAATTATAATTTTGTTAATAAGTTATTTTTAACTTATTAGACTAGTCTTAAATGAGCGATTAATGTCGTTGTTTAGACAACTTTATTACGGTTTTTAAGGAACAAACAACTTGCGATAACTTACGAAAAGTGAAAAAAAATCTGCTTATTTTTTAAGACAGTCTTCAAGTGGAGAATATGATTCGTGATATTGGAATTCAATTTGAAAGAATTTAAGAAAATTCTGCAAATTTGCATAATTTTTTAAAAGCAGAACAATATTTAATTTGATAAATAAATTATCCTTCCTTTTTTAACAAATTTGTACAGTACGATATCATCGATTCCGACTTGCTTTATAACTTAATAGTTTCGAAAATCAAATAATTCTGTCTCTATTTATAAGTATGAAATGCGTATTTTTGTACGAATTAAATAAAATTTGTTAAAAGTTTCAAAAATTTATTGATTGTTATATGTATATATTATCAATTATACAGTACCAATGCAAATTTATGAAAGATAAGAATAAGAAATGTCGAAGACCACTACATTAATATTTTATAATTTAATTTGTAATATCAATGTTTTATAAAAGTTAGCACATTTTATAGTAGTTTATTATGATGAGATTATATAAATATAATATTTCTGGTTGTATAAAGCAATTTAAAAAAATATTTAAGCATAGCGCAATTTTTGAAATGAATTTTATAATGAAATATCATCTAGCATCTATTATTTAATAATAGCAAATATAGCATTTAATACTTATCTAGCAGCAGAATATGAATCTAAAATGTTTTCATTTCAGAGCATTACAGGTATGTACTGTATTGTACTGTACAATATCTGTATGCATAATAACTCTTAAAAATGTGCAAAATTCAATTTTTTATGCGTACTGATTAATATATTTATTATATTTGTCACGGCTCTTATTGTAATATCTTTGCAAAATATTGTTGCTATTGTTTGTTTGAGTTTTATATTTTACTCCATCATTTAATTTAGTGCCAGCACGACCCTTGTAGCTTTTGCGCTAAAATATTATACAAACCAACCGCCATACTGATTAAATCGCAACTCAAGTTTGACTTAAAGTGATCTTTTGTCTTCTTCAATCAAGTAAACAATACTGAATCGTCAATCAATAGCTTATTGATCTCAAATGGGATATCGCCAAATTTTCCTATTATAATGTTTAAAGTATATATTAAAATTTATGTAGTTAATTGTATAAATATTGATTATACCAGATATAAGCAATAAGTTAAAATATGTATATTATGTAACACATTGAAAATATTTTAAATGTTATTACTTGAAAAAATTATATCAAACACCGTCGTGAGACAGCCTAATTTTACTCTTCTGATGATGCTATTTTCACTCTTATTCTCTTCTAACAGTATTTATATTTTAAATATATTCTTATACTAATCTACAAGAAATTATCATAAAAATATAAGGCAACAAATTTACTTGATATTAAATACAAAATTTACACGTAAATTGTCTTGATCAATGATTAGATATTTATGCAAAATTGACTGTATAAAAATGTAATTAGAATATAAATGTTATACCAGTTAATTAGTCTTTATTTTATAGATTAATATAGTAAATTTTAATCTACAAATTATGCAATATCCTTTGATTTACAGTTAATACGATAAATTATATATTTACAAAAATAATATATTAATATAAGCTTATTTTTAGATGTTTACTTTTTCGGATTATTGTTTTAACAATAACAGAACATTATATTTTTATACATGCATTATATTTATGACTTGGATTACTTCAATAAGCTATACGGCGTTTGCAGTCGTTTAAATATGGCATCAGAGATGAGAACGATTCCTAAAGATAGAATTCAATAAATTCTTAAAAATTATTTGTAATAGTTATAACAGGATAAGAAATTTAAATATTTTTACAGAATTAAAAGGTATCCGGATATATTACAAATCGAACATTGCTAGTATCGATTTAATAATGATAAAAACAAATCTTTTAATTGTACAGTATTTGAGAAATACCACGCATAACAAGCATTAATGATATTTATGCAGTTTTAGAATTTCGTTCTTCATACAGCCTATACGCGAGCATTAATAAATTACAAAACGATAAACAAATGTGATAATTTATAAAATGATTACTGTATATTATACGCTATAAAATCGATTATAATTATATAGGTTCATTACTTAGATCTATTTATATTAAAATTTTAGTAAAGTTCCTTTCTTTAAACTGTAAAAGTTTTTTTATTTTATTTATAAATACATTTCTGATAAAAATTTTAATTCTATTAAGTTAATATATTTTACACGTGAAACTTAAGTTCAACTAAATCTTTTAGACTAATATATTTTAATATAACCAAATGATAAAATTATAGAAAATATTTGAAAGAAAACTTTAATTGCTTAATTTAATGGTAATTTATTAATAATAAAAAACATTTTACGTGATTAATTTATTCGGTTCCGGCATTTAACTATTAAGTTTATAGATATACTGTAGCCTAAATTTTTATGTATTTATCACCGTATACCGAATCCAGATCTAAAATTCAAACCAAAAGTTGTACATAATAAAATCAAAAACTTAATCCGTCTTACCTTAGATGAATATGTGTTCATCTAAAATATATACAGTATAATTTTTCTTATCTTTTAAAAATTGACAAAAGCTTCTTTAGTACAACTAATCATATAATACATTTTGTAAATTACAATAATAATTATTTTAATGCTATTTTATTAAGCAAATATTAAGTTTACACTTGACATGAATTCATGCTTAGAATTTGGGATTTCACATTTGATATTTTGAATTTTGTAAACTATATTTTACAATATATTTAATTACCTAAACGGCAAAAGATAATTATATTTATACTCTTAATCCAATTGTTTTCCTACTGAAATAATGTTTTGCTATTCAGAAATATTCAATAAAAGAATATTTATCATATAAGCAGCATCTATAATTTGGATTATTCTTCCTTTGTTGTAAGTTTTAATTATTTATACAGTATATCTGAATATCTATATCTAATCAGATATCCTGAACGTTCAGGATATGATTTTTATATAAATTTCAATTAAAATATTTGTTTACATAAAATTTATTTTTATTTAATCGATAAGTTATATTATTTTATACATAAAATTACATATATAATTAAATAAGAGTTCTAAATAATTAATTAATGATATAACGTGAAATAATATAATCTAAGCTTAAAATGTCTAAGTTAAAATTTAAATATGTTTCTCCATATTCAATAATATAATAATAAAACGATAATATAGTGCACATATATTTTTATTTATTCAATTTAATTTTAATCTTTACTAACCATAACTAATATTAATAATATATCTACTATGGCGCTCTATCTATTATTATAAATTATTATTAAAATACAGAAATAATAGCTTTTGATAAATTCTTTCCATTATAAAATTTTATTTATTGCTTTCTATTTCTTTCCTATTGTAATATTTCGGAGATTTTAATCAAATAGCGTATATATAAGATTATAACAATCGTTTCTCATATATAATCATTTAATCTTACTTATGCTCCTTTCAAAAAATTAAATTTATTAAATAAGCCTTAATTATGTAGGCCAAAAGATCTGCAGTATAATTGTTTATATTGTTTACTTGGGTATTTAAAGATTTTTTTTAAAAAGAAGTGTCCGAAATTCAAAAAAATTAATATAATAAATAGGCCTAAGTTTTAAAAGTTAAATGGTCATCTAGGCTTATATTTTATTGATATAAAATATAAAATATTTGATTTTGAACAAAATTTTATATTTTAATTATGTTTAGATTAATATGATATCAATACTTTAGAGAAAAATGGAAAAATCCACTGTAAAAACGAGGATTTTATTGGGTTCGTGACTATCTACGACCAAAATGATTTAACTGTGTAATACAATATTTCTGAATTGTTTGTTGGTTTGTGGATCCTTTGATCCCATTCAATGGAGAAAATTTTATAAATAAAAATCTTTTTTTTAACCGAGTAAAACCGAATAGAGTATTATTTTCGAAAATTTAAGATACCGATTTTAAAATAACTAGTTCAATACAATATACAAGTATTTACTGTATTTGAATATTCGATAAATCAAAATAAATATATATATTAACTGACAATAAAACCTACATCAAGAATATATTTTAAAATAATAATTATTACTTCTTCCGAATATAATATAAATATTAATTGCCATTAACGAGAGATATAATAGGAAATTGTTGAATAATTCTTGAAATAAAGTGACATAAATCGAACTTATTGTTCAAAAAAAACATATTCTGCATGTAAGAATCTTGTTAATTTAAGTAAAAAGCGATAAAAAAATACTCCAGGATCATCAATTGCCATAAATGATAGAGTTTGATAAGCGCATACTTCAATGTAACAACAAGAACTGACGAAATACTCTAGATTTTGTGAACTAAAAAATTCATTAAAAAAATTCTTTTTGATTTTTTTTTCTATTTTTTCCATCTCACTTATCTTCCACCCTTTTATTTATTATGGATTTTTGGCTTCTCGGATTTTAATGTCTTTTAGAAATATTGGAATGGCCCCTTCTCTTTTCTTTATCCGCCACAATTAACTCTTGATTACACTGTTAACTTGGATCGGCAGCTGTATACGAGATGACATTCTCCCACTTACAGAAGGTTTCATCCGACAGACATATTATTAAACTTTTCTAGACTCTATTAAATTAAATTATAATTAAAAATATTGATGGACAAAAATTATAAATTCATCTACAAATTTTTTCCTTCCTTTCCTATCGTTTTATCGCGATATTTTATGCTATCTAACATATGTTATTTTAATTAATACTTACGTCATTTATTAATGGCAGATGTTATTCATAGGCTGTTCTGGTTTCTTCAAGCGCAGCATACACAGAAACAGAGTATATACCTGTAAAGCTCAGGGTGATTTAAAGGGCAAATGTCCTATCGACAAGACTCATAGGAACCAATGTAGGGCTTGTCGCCTAAAGAAGTGCTTCGAAGCTTGCATGAATAAAGAGGGTAAAAATTGCCTTTATTTAGTATTTAAATCCATATTATCTAAAGAATATTTAACTTTTTTTTTTAATAATTAACTGAATGCAGAAGAGAATTTTATTTTATAAATTAATTTTATATGATATTTTAAAAATACTTCTGTATAAATTATATTTATTAACGTGTGTGTNTAATTATAACTAATTAATACGTATTTATATCTATGTATTAATAGAAAATGCATAGTTTAAACATACCATTTGAAAGTGTTACAGAATCGACTTTTGTTTGCCGCTAACTTAAAATAATTTTTAATTACATATCCGTACACTTAATTGATAGGATTAAATTAAGCTTTTCCATGTTTGATATAAAACGTAAAAATGTAACATTAGATAATGTATCAATTTTGCATATTAATTAATTTGGATTTATCTTAAAAATTTCTGGCTCAAGCGACGAAATGATTAAGCTTAAAGACTAAGGAAATTCGCATCATGTAAAAACTTTTGTTAATTATAGGTCTATTTATTTTACAAATTACTTCCATTCTCACTACTTAATATGCATAGAATCAATTTACTTTTTCGAAAATTGATTTTGTTAAGAAAAGTACTCCAAGAAAAATCAAAATATGATTATAGAAGGAATCAGAACGGCTATGCGTAAGCCTGAATTCCGGATCATGAAAATTCCATATTTCAAATAATTATTAAACATTGTATTAGTTTCTTTATTCTAAAAAAGATTTATTGAATTTTTTTTATCTGTTGCTCACGTAAAAAGTTTGATGTTTCCCTTATATAAATAATAATTTTTTAAAATAATTGTTCCAGAAAACAGTTTTCTTTTAAATTCAATGTTTTGTTGGATAAAGTGTTGAAATTTCTGTAATCTAATACACAGATTTAGCATAAAATGTATAAATTTTAGCTTAGAAATTCCATGAAAAGAAATAAAGTCAATACAAATGAAGGAAATAATTTTGACTTCGTAAAAATCTCGTTAAAATCAGGAGGAATTTCTCAGTACTTAAATACTTTCATTATTTAAGCCGAAATCTAAAATATATAATCAATTCTAAATGGAAATAGAATCTACATAATATATTTCATATATTAACCTCATTTGTTTCATTGTAAAAATTCACGTTTTTGTAGAAAGTTTTGGGAGGCCATAATTTATAGTTTATATATAAAGATATAGGTGTAAGAAATAAATTAAACTTAGGCCTACAACATTAATAAGTCAACGTGTTATTTACCGAAAGTATTATTGTGTAGGCTAATTAGTAGATATTTTTTGTCTCATACGGTACTTTAATTTATTCTATAAAGAAGTAAGTACTTCATTTTACGGAATGAACTGAACTACCGGTGTTTCGAATATTTTATAAATGGTTAATATTTTAATTATACATTAAACATATTGAAAGAGATATAAATAAAATTGATGCTGATTTAAGGCCTTCATGAAATTCTAAGATCGCTTTTTTTCCATTAAAATATTTGGAGGCGAATTATCAAATATTGCAGCGATAAAAATAAATAAACAAATATAAAAATTTATTTTTATAACTTTGCAAGTATCAATGCGAAATTAAATTTTTACAATTATTATCTTGTGATGCAATTAAACTAAGAAAATTGATTAGACAATTGAATTGGCCTCTAATGAATAAAATGTAAGAGATGACAGACAATTGATTGACTATTGATAATTTATCAAATGACTACATTCGTGCGTGATTCCAAATGTCAAAATCATGCTACATGTATGGTTGTTGCTATCCATTAAGGAAGTTTGCAGCCAAGCCTAGCAACCTAATCTAATATAAGCCCTAATAGAATATATTTCTGTATTTAATAGAGATTTGATTACTATTTATGATTGTAAAATTGTATAAATTATATTCGACTGCCATGTAATCAAATAATATTAAATTCACTACACAGATCTACAGAAATGTTCTGCAAAAATTCATATTCTACAATGTTCTTTTCGTCTTTTTTTTCATGTTTTTTTTTTCTTTACTTACTGATTTTGAATAAAGGTCGCTTTTCGAAATTTAAAGATCGTTATTTAAATATTGTTGAAAAATAGAAAGATTTTGTTATTTTTTCAGCATGTAATTTGCTTATAAATATTGATACTGAATTTTTTTCGGCATCATTTTAATTAAGAGGCATAGAAAAGTTTACATTTCTAAACTTGCATATCAATTTCTATAATATTGTACTGTATACAATTTAATTAAAGCTTGCGACCGCTTGAAATTTTTTGCAATTAAAGCTTTATCACGAATTCAAGTCAAAATTATTATATAATTAATTATAATTTTGTTAATAAGTTATTTTTAACTTATTAGACTAGTCTTAAATGAGCGATTAATGTCGTTGTTTAGACAACTTTATTACGGTTTTTAAGGAACAAACAACTTGCGATAACTTACGAAAAGTGAAAAAAAATCTGCTTATTTTTTAAGACAGTCTTCAAGTGGAGAATATGATTCGTGATATTGGAATTCAATTTGAAAGAATTTAAGAAAATTCTGCAAATTTGCATAATTTTTTAAAAGCAGAACAATATTTAATTTGATAAATAAATTATCCTTCCTTTTTTAACAAATTTGTACAGTACGATATCATCGATTCCGACTTGCTTTATAACTTAATAGTTTCGAAAATCAAATAATTCTGTCTCTATTTATAAGTATGAAATGCGTATTTTTGTACGAATTAAATAAAATTTGTTAAAAGTTTCAAAAATTTATTGATTGTTATATGTATATATTATCAATTATACAGTACCAATGCAAATTTATGAAAGATAAGAATAAGAAATGTCGAAGACCACTACATTAATATTTTATAATTTAATTTGTAATATCAATGTTTTATAAAAGTTAGCACATTTTATAGTAGTTTATTATGATGAGATTATATAAATATAATATTTCTGGTTGTATAAAGCAATTTAAAAAAATATTTAAGCATAGCGCAATTTTTGAAATGAATTTTATAATGAAATATCATCTAGCATCTATTATTTAATAATAGCAAATATAGCATTTAATACTTATCTAGCAGCAGAATATGAATCTAAAATGTTTTCATTTCAGAGCATTACAGGTATGTACTGTATTGTACTGTACAATATCTGTATGCATAATAACTCTTAAAAATGTGCAAAATTCAATTTTTTATGCGTACTGATTAATATATTTATTATATTTGTCACGGCTCTTATTGTAATATCTTTGCAAAATATTGTTGCTATTGTTTGTTTGAGTTTTATATTTTACTCCATCATTTAATTTAGTGCCAGCACGACCCTTGTAGCTTTTGCGCTAAAATATTATACAAACCAACCGCCATACTGATTAAATCGCAACTCAAGTTTGACTTAAAGTGATCTTTTGTCTTCTTCAATCAAGTAAACAATACTGAATCGTCAATCAATAGCTTATTGATCTCAAATGGGATATCGCCAAATTTTCCTATTATAATGTTTAAAGTATATATTAAAATTTATGTAGTTAATTGTATAAATATTGATTATACCAGATATAAGCAATAAGTTAAAATATGTATATTATGTAACACATTGAAAATATTTTAAATGTTATTACTTGAAAAAATTATATCAAACACCGTCGTGAGACAGCCTAATTTTACTCTTCTGATGATGCTATTTTCACTCTTATTCTCTTCTAACAGTATTTATATTTTAAATATATTCTTATACTAATCCACAAGAAATTATCATAAAAATATAAGGCAACAAATTTACTTGATATTAAATACAAAATTTACACGTAAATTGTCTTGATCAATGATTAGATATTTATGCAAAATTGACTGTATAAAAATGTAATTAGAATATAAATGTTATACCAGTTAATTAGTCTTTATTTTATAGATTAATATAGTAAATTTTAATCTACAAATTATGCAATATCCTTTGATTTACAGTTAATACGATAAATTATATATTTACAAAAATAATATATTAATATAAGCTTATTTTTAGATGTTTACTTTTTCGGATTATTGTTTTAACAATAACAGAACATTATATTTTTATACATGCATTATATTTATGACTTGGATTACTTCAATAAGCTATACGGCGTTTGCAGTCGTTTAAATATGGCATCAGAGATGAGAACGATTCCTAAAGATAGAATTCAATAAATTCTTAAAAATTATTTGTAATAGTTATAACAGGATAAGAAATTTAAATATTTTTACAGAATTAAAAGGTATCCGGATATATTACAAATCGAACATTGCTAGTATCGATTTAATAATGATAAAAACAAATCTTTTAATTGTACAGTATTTGAGAAATACCACGCATAACAAGCATTAATGATATTTATGCAGTTTTAGAATTTCGTTCTTCATACAGCCTATACGCGAGCATTAATAAATTACAAAACGATAAACAAATGTGATAATTTATAAAATGATTACTGTATATTATACGCTATAAAATCGATTATAATTATATAGGTTCATTACTTAGATCTATTTATATTAAAATTTTAGTAAAGTTCCTTTCTTTAAACTGTAAAAGTTTTTTTATTTTATTTATAAATACATTTCTGATAAAAATTTTAATTCTATTAAGTTAATATATTTTACACGTGAAACTTAAGTTCAACTAAATCTTTTAGACTAATATATTTTAATATAACCAAATGATAAAATTATAGAAAATATTTGAAAGAAAACTTTAATTGCTTAATTTAATGGTAATTTATTAATAATAAAAAACATTTTACGTGATTAATTTATTCGGTTCCGGCATTTAACTATTAAGTTTATAGATATACTGTAGCCTAAATTTTTATGTATTTATCACCGTATACCGAATCCAGATCTAAAATTCAAACCAAAAGTTGTACATAATAAAATCAAAAACTTAATCCGTCTTACCTTAGATGAATATGTGTTCATCTAAAATATATACAGTATAATTTTTCTTATCTTTTAAAAATTGACAAAAGCTTCTTTAGT